TTGAGTTCAAGATATTTAGATTTCGGCATTAAATAACCCATAGATATGTTGATATGACGCTAAACAATATCAGCCAACTGATAAAAGCTTATTTTCAGCCCAAATTAATATGCGTTTTGATTGCCAGTAAGGATCGAACTCAATTCTCAGTAATAACCAACTGAGAAATCAGCTTCCTAAACATTACACCATGACGAAGTACGCAAAGGAATAAGGCAGTGTGCGCATGTGTGTGTTTTCATTAAACGTGATGGACCAGATTTTTATGAGACTTACGTCTGATAAGAAAAATCTAGATATCTTGGTCTGTCATATTTAATTAATCAGCTTTGAAATTCGTGGAAATATTCCAACGTTCACGTTAATTTTTACTGTACTTCTGTTAATATAATTAAGTTGCATTCAGTGCGAATACTATCGGCACAGATCTTGACTTTGAGTGAGTTTTTCAACACGTACGTAAATACGGTTTACATCCACATAGGTGTGTAGTAATTACAGACACATACACACACGCACACACACACATATATATTGATTTTCCATATATATATGTATTTATTTATTTTCCAAGCGTAGCATACATGTGGCACAAGGCAATTAGTAGGGGATACTCACTACTCAGTGGTAATTGATCTAACGAGACAATCTTTCTAAACATGACACCACGTTGAGGTGCCCAGTGATTGACCAAGCGCGGCTTAGATGTGGTACAAGACCGAAAGTAGAGGGCACCCAGTGAGGATCGAACGTTCAGTCGTAATTGTTCTAGAAAGACAAGCCCCACCACCTAAACACGCACACACATTATATATATATATATATATATATATATATATATATATATATATATATATATACTAGCAGTAGAGCCCGGCGTTGCCCGGGATGTAACAATAAGAGATAGATCAAGTATCGACCATCATAAAGACTGAAAAATAAAATTGACAAAGATTATTGTTTAAGGTTGACGGACACGCATGTCTTAATTAGTTTTTTTTTTTACGAATTGGTCAAACCCAAATTCAAACAAAAACATTGTTTACAATCGTTATGAGTCTATCGATTGGTGAATAGAATTTTATTACAAACAATTGTCTTGTAAATGGAGTTTTTAAAGCATTCTGAATATAAATAAAGAAAAAAGTGTGCAAGACAATAAGAAATACTACCTGCCGAAAAAAAAAAAAAAGTGGATGTTTGTTTTATCGGCTGAAAAATGAAATATAAAGGAACACACACACACACACACACACACACACACACACACACACACACACACACACACACACAAACAAAACCTGGGTTTTTAACCTAAGTCACTCCACGGAATCGCTAAAACATAGAGCATAGTCTGATGAAAAAAAGACGCCAAAGTTTATGAAAACAAAATTTTATCGTCAAAATGCTTATTTTTTTATGAAGAGGATAGACAATTTTTTTTTTAATTATTTTTTTAAAATTTTTCCATCTTTTTAGAATATTCTAAATTTTGATTTAAAAAACCTTGTTTCTCTTTGTCGCAACAAGGGGTAGTAAATAACATAGATAATTTTTAGCGCATTTTTTTGTATTTAAACAAATTAATGTGGAAAATCTTGCAAAAATAAAAATAATTGTCAGATGTTAATGAAACTTCCAGAAACTATTCACAGATGATCGAAATTATTATAAATATTTTTTTTTATTAAAGTCATGGCAGAAATATTTTTTTTTATATTTGTTAACACCCCCATAACTTTTATGAAAAACTCTAGAAATTCGAGACCATCGGTTTTAGTGATTACAATAGTTAAAAGCACAAGGCTTTGAAGAATGCAAATCATGTTTTTTTTTGTTTTTTTTTTCGCCAACGTACCTGAAAATCAGCTGTGAATTGTAACATACAAAACTCAATAAAACAAATATATTATTTAGTTTCAAATGCTTTTTTGTTTTAATTATTTTTTATGAATATGGACAATATTTTCTGAAAGCAAAATATTTTTTCAATGAAAATTGAATTTTTAATACAATTATTTCTTATTTCTTTAATTTTAAAAAGATTTTTAAAAAATGTTTAAATTGAATTTTAAAAATATTTTAACATTAGTTAAAAAAGCAACATCAACCTTTCAAAATGTCCGTGTGAGATTGTCATTGTCTAGCGCTTTGAAAATTGTATAATTTGGACCAATCAGATTAGCCATGGTAATTAAGAAATGTAATTTTGTGTTTATGGTCGGACAGTAATTATCAAGTACGGAAGACCAACCAGAATACAATTTAGTTGCATTATTTGAGTTCAGCATTGTTCTCCGCTGTTAAGCCCTTTACTTTTGCGAAACACGTATGGAGAAGTTAATTTGAGTTTTCAATTTCAACTGAGAAGGGTACCTACAAGTAACAGTATCATCTTATGAAATTTAACTACTGCTAAACTTTAATTTATATGATCTTATTTTTTTATATTAATCTCAGTTATGACATTTTTCCATAAATGAAATATCAAAATTAATAATAAAATGAATGGAAATACAAATAACACAGTAAAATGTAATAAATGTACATAAAATTATAGTATTTTATGTACACTTCTGATAAAATTTCATAAGAAAGGTACCTAAATTAATTAGATACCTTTTTCTTATGAAATTTAATCTCACTATTAACAGTCTTATTTTTTAATTTCTTTATATTTTCCATAAAGCATCGTAAACGTAAAAATGAAAGCTAAGTACAAAAAAAAAAATAATAAAAATAAAAAATTAGAGCGCTGAAAGTTTTCCTTAAAGTAACAAGGTAAATAATTTGTTCACTTAAATAATTTCACTTCCTTCCATCCGTAGAAAGAATTCTCATCCCGTAAGTTATCTAAACGTCATGAATGTGCCTTTCGTCAATCGTCAAGCGACGCGAAAGATTATGACCTGCTTTTGTTTTATTTTCAAATTACATTTTTTTCGGCGCAGAAGCTAAGTTAAACTTGGTTCAAAATATTTTAAATAAACAGTATAATATCTGTTTTATTAAAAATCAGTTTTGAAAAAATGATAATTGACTTTTAAAAGAATATCAAAGTAAGATTTTAATCTTTTTATCAAATCGAAAAAATGATTGAAAATGATTATCTGCCCTTTTTTTTGACCAAAAAAAAATAATATTTTAACGAAAATTTCAGACGTGCTAGGAACGATTAAAAATCTTAATGTGTCTTAATCGTGTTTTCAAATTGATTTTATTAAAAAACAACTGTATTTTTCCCATTTTCGGCCCCGTTACAACCACCACAAAGGTAATTTTATGTAGTCCTGTGAAGTTTTGTTGAAATCGGCTAAAAATGTAGGAAATTCGATCCAACATATAAACGTTACAGACACACACACACACACACACACACAACTTTTTTTATAATAAGTAAGATATTTGTGTATATATATACATATATATATAAATATTTATATATATATATATATATATATATATATTTGTATGTATATATATATATATATATATATATATATTTGTATATATATATATATATTTGTGTGTATATATATATATATATTTGTGTGTGTGTGTGTGTGTGTGTGTGTGTGTGTGTGTGTGTGTGTGAAATTTACCCCATCTGTATGGACATTTATAGGTATTTCTGAATTACATTTATATGGAATTTATATATGCTCTGTAATAAATACATCGAGATCCCTTTATTAGGATTCACTTGGAAAAATTACCCACGGATTTTTACCAGAAACTATACAGAAATACACGATGTTCCAAAAACCGAAGCTAAAAACTTCAAATTTAATTATATAATTAAATTAAAAGCATTAGTTCTGTTTCATCTTCAAGTGAATTTGAATTTTTTAGCTTCGGTTTTTGAAACATGGTAATTCCTGTGTAGCGAAGAAACCATATTTTAAATCAGTTAATGTATAATATTTATGCTCTGTAAATTTACATTGAGCACTGTTTTGTTTAAAATAAAAATATCAATAAGAAAACCCTATTATATAACTGCAAATAAATATATTTTTAAAATATCTCTATTTTCACAAACTCTTCTTGAAACATAATGTCAAAAGTAACAGAACAAGATTAAACCTAAGGGTAACTAGTGGTCTAGTTTTTTAAAACTTGGTGGTGTTTCCACGATCATTTTTTGTAAAAACATTTTATGAGATATCAACATAAAGATTTTATGATTCTTTAAAAATATTTTTAAAGACTTTAACTAAAGTTATTTTTTATTGTTTTACATTTAAATATTTTTTTTTAATTTTATTTTATTTTAATTTCTGTATATACTACTCCATATGTAAGACTTCAAAAGGTAGACCCTGATAAAAAATATTTTCCTCCGGACATATAATGAACCGATATTTCAATGGCAAAAAAAAAAAAACACTGCTAGGGAGAAGAATGAATTGTGAAACTGGAGTATATTGTCTATGATGAATGTCTACCGTGGGTACATTCCCTATTCAATATTTATATACGTCTAAAAATGAGTAAACCCATTTGTCTCCCATGTAAGAGTAAAATGATAAATGCAGTTCACAAGGGGTCAAGATGATCGACATGTTGTTAAACCACCCAGAAAACATCTTGGTAAGGCATGGGAAAGTGCTGGGACCCTATTTTCTTGTACCTTCTTCTTTCTCAAAGATTTGCAATTTAAACTTGCGGGTGCGTCCTTGACGTCAGAGGGTCCTTGCCGGTAAAATGAGTTCTTCATTGCTGATTCTTGAGGAAAATCGAGATAATATACTTGTGCAAAAATTTCCAGCAGGTTTAATTTACAAAAAAAAAGAAAAGAAAAGAATTCTGCTATGTATGCACTATCATGTTTTCAAAAACGGAGGATGTTGTGGACTTTTATAAACAACTAATATATAGAATGTCTAAATACTGTGTTTGTAGGTACAAATCCGTGAAAACAATGAATGTTTTTTTAAACCGGAAGTAGATTTCTTTCTAACAATTATGAAATAACTAAAGTCGAAATCCTATCGCTGTTAGAAACAATATTGGTCATCCGAGAGAGAAAGAAAGAAAGAAAGAAAGAAAGAAAGAAAGAAAGAAAGAAAGAAAGAAAGACATCGAACAACTAGAGAACTAGATGAGGGAAAATAACGGAAAGATCAGAAGATTTCAAAGAAAGAAAGAAAGAAAGAATGAATGAATGAATGAATGAATGGAAATAAATAATGGAAAGATCAAGAAAGACGGAGAAAAAAGAAAATAAAAGAAAGATAGAATCGAATAAACAAACAAACGAAAGAAAGAAAGTATGAAGACAAATAAAAAGAGAATATAATAACAGAAGGAATTGGATTGGTACAGAAAGAATAAGAAAGAAAGGAAAATCAAAAGAGGGTTTAATAATGAAAAGGTCAGAAGTAGGGAATAAGTAGAAAGAAAGAAAGAAAGAAAGAAAGAAAGAAAGAAAGAAAGGAAATAGAGAAATAAAAAGCGGATATAATAACAGAAAGAACTGGATTGGTACAGAAAGAAAAAAAAGAAAATAAAAAGGGGGTAAAATAACAGAAAGGTCAGGATTAGGGAATAAGAAAGAAAGAAAGAAAGAAAGAAAGAAAGAAAGAAAGAAAGAAAGAAAGAAGGCCATAACCCAGACAAGTGGTCGCACTGTGAAACAAATCGATGACAACCAATAAACCAAACAGCGTTGAGGATATTCATTACAACTTTGACGTATAACTGAATAAAAGTCATTTCGCATAAAAGCTGTAACTTTTACTATTTGCTTACATATCCTGCTCGCCAGCCACTACCAATGCATACTCCCAACCCGGCTACCACCCACAAACCTGTTCGTGCAATGTAAAGCAACATCTATATCCGCGCACAGCTCCAATAATATATCCAAATCCCTTCCATCAGTGGATTATCATCTCCGCACGTAAGAGAGACCGCAAATGATAACGAGTGTGGGGGTAACTGATAGTGTCAGCCGAGAGACTGCTAGTTTATTCAGCAAAATTGCATTCTCTAGCCACGAAGGCTTACAAATATCGAACCATTAGGGAAAGCTAGTGGCCTGTGGACTTCTTACTGATTGGCTGCTAACCAGATCAGACGGAATAAGTGACATCGATGTATCACGTTCTGCGCATGCGTCATAATCGCTCGCATGAATCCTCCATTTTAGTCAATGCCTTGTTAGCTATGGAAAATTAATGACGGATAGACGAGCGTTACACCTCACAATATCAAAATCTATCTGGTTTTTCAGTTCGTTCAATTATGTCACTAAACGCATACACACATACACATGCAAAAACACACACCTATATCTAAAATGGTATAAGCGAATACAGTTGGTTGTTTAACAATCTTTTTCTTATTCGCGTCTCGCTCCTTTTATGAAAGCATTTTCCAAACATAATGGAAAAAATATTTAGTTATCACCGCATTCTTGCTACTTAAAAATGCCTTGGACAATATGAAAAACTTTAGGAGTTAATAAAATTTAAATCAATGCTATTTTTGAAGAGGAAATAAATTAAAAGAAAAAGTGAATATTATATTTACTTTTATGTAAAATAATTTACTTTTGCCATTTGCGTTTCGATCTAATATAAAAAAAGAATGAAACTAAAATGGATTAAATCGGACAATTATTTATTAAATTTTCTGTTTATACGTTATGTTTATAGATACAATGTATTTTAGTAAATTCTCTATTTTTAATTTAACAGTACTAATTACATTTACCGTCCTGAATATTAAATAATTTTCAGATTTAATGCATTTCATTATATGTTGTCATTGTTTGCGTTAAGTTACGTCTCGCGAAAATGATCCATCGAGGAAAATCGTCGAAGTCTGTGTGTTTATAAACAGTAATTTAGACTTTGTTAACCAGATGCTTCTCTGTAGCTGAATGGTATAGAGGATGGATTCCAGTCGGAGAACGCTTATTTTCTATGAAATTACTCGAAAATTCAGGACAGTAAATATCATTAATAGTGTTTTATTAAAATGCAGAGCATTTACTTAAATAAATTGTCTCTATTAAAATAACCTATGAACAGAAAATATATTAAAATAATTGTCGGACTTAATCCATTTCACTATTTACATTATTCGGACTATTGTCCTCATCTTTGTTGCCATAATTATCACGTTTCGGCCGTTGTACGCTCCGGCCTTCTACAGGTGCCTGGAATATCGAACTGGAATGAATCAAAGTTTTATTTATCTACTAAAAACCCGTAGTGCTTCATATTGTCTGTGATATTCGAAAGTACTTGAACACCATCACCCCCCCGCAAAAAAAAGAAAAAAATGAATATTGTATTATATAAACATAATATATATTAAAATAATTGTCGGACTTAATCACTTTCATATTATGTTGTCATTGTTTACGTTAAGATACGTTTCGTGAGCCAAAATTGTCGAGCGAGAAAAATCGTCGAAGATTGTGTGTTTATAAAAAACAGTAATTCTGACTTCGCTGTAGCTGAATAGTACAACACGTCAGGTTAAATGCCGGTTTCCGTATAGGAATACAGGTTCGATTCATGGCGGAATACACACACACACACGCGCGCGCGCGTATATATATATATATATATATATATATATATATATATATATATATATATTATTGGCGTGGCCGTGTGATTAAAATGTTCGCTTAATGACGGATTCAAATGTCCCCATAGTTGCTACCTTTGGAAATGCCTGAAAACTTTACCAGGAGTTGACCTAAGACTTGTCAGTGAAATTAGGCAGGTGGATCATCTTTGAAGCCGTCGATGCTTGTGCTAATCACCGTGACGGTGTTCAAGAAATTGATAACACCATATTATCGTTTTCTCCAATAAACTCTAAGGAAGGTCCACTCATCATAGTTGCAGTATTTGCCACAGGTGTGCTTCGTGAATTATATCGGCTAGCCGCCCTTGCTAGAGGGCAATATTTAATTATGTGCGCGTGGTTTCTCAATTTCAATATCAGATTTTCATTTTATGGCGACCAGGAAAAAGCTTGTACACACATTCTTAAAAACTTGCTCGCTTGACAGAATGTACGTTTTATTAATGTGTGTTTGTGATTTCTTGCATAAGAAATGATAATCTTCGATATGTAATGGTATATATTAAGACAAGAAATGTCCACGTGCTAACAAATGATAATCTTTGATAAGTAATAGTATTTATTACGGCATGAAATGTCCACGTGCTAACAAATGATAATCTTCAATATGTAATGGTATATATTAAGGCAGGAAATGTCCTCTGGATAACAAATGATAATCTTCGATATGTAATGGTATATATTAAGCCATGAATTGTCCTCGTGCTAACAAATGATAATCTTCGATAGGTAATGGTATATAATAAGGCAGGAAATATCCGGCTAATCCAGTGGAGAACTTTCAGAGGGAAATGAACGGAAGATAACTGATAACTGACACCCATTAAACATGGCACGTGAAACTAGAACAGTCTACCCCAGTGAGCGAAATAAAGGGTTAAGTTTGACATTCCAACAACCTCAATAAGCCCGGAGCGTATAACAGCCGAAACGTTGTAATAAATATGACGACAAACATGAGAACAATAGTCCGAATAATGTAAATATATATATATATATATATATATATATATATATATATATATATATATATATATATATACTTTAAAAATCAGTACAGTTGAATCTGCTAACTTTATTTCATCTTTACAGTATCTTCAAGCGATTTTTATCCGAAGACTTAACGCTTTCTTTTATAAAAAATTAATGAATGCTATTTTTATATGAATAAACACACAACATTGTGTATCTTTTTTTAACTATATATATATATATATATATATATATATATATATATATATATAAAAATCAGGTCAGTGTAATCTGCTTCCTTTGTTTCAACCTTACGCTATCTCCAGGCGATTTTTATTCAATGACCTCTTAACGCTTTATTTTTTTGAAAAATCTAATGAACGCTATATATATATATATATATATATATATATATATATATTAATAGATAATAAAAACACCCGACGTTGGGTGTGATAGAAAAAGAGGAGGAGGATGTGGGGAAGGAAAAAGAAGAGGAAAAGAAGAAAAGCAAGAGTATTATAAAATTATCGGTGGGGGTGCAATTGAAATCTATTTTTTTTTCTTATCCAGCTTAGTGTATGCTCAAGAGGAATTCTCATATATGTATGCAAGAACTCAAAACTTCGGATTTCTGATTCAAAAGATTCTTCGACTTCGGAAATATCATTATTGCTAATTTTTCCTGTTGGCAGATGTTGCAAATATGGTTGTGGTTATTATAAGACTTTGCCTTTTTTTTAATTTTCCCGTTTACAATCGGATCAGAACCAAAAGGCCGAAGACTTGAGTGGCTGTATATTATATTAGGAAAATCCTTTTAAGCATATATAAGGCTGGATAATAAAAAAAATATATGGGTGGTCTTCTTAACATGGCTTCAAAAAAGAAATATCCCCAAAGTTTTCAGTCAGTCTGTCGCCTCCAAGGAAGAAAGAAAAACACTTCTGGGTCCCCATTCATTTTCCTTCGGTACATATTCCTGATAACATAATTTTATTATCGCAGGCCAAAATTGTTTCGTCGAAAAAAATTCGGTGAGCGGCACTGCTTGTGTGGCATTTAATTTTTCATATCTGTCCAAAGTCCTTTTTAGTGGCCTGTTTCTCGTCACTTATCGAAATAGCATTTTCACTTGAATTTTCCCTGGCCAGTGGTCCAGCCGTTCGTTTACGCACCTAGATAACACAGCCGTTATCAAAACACATCTGATTCCTTCTTTCCCTTTCTTTTTTACTCAGAAATTCCCTGTCATTATAATGACACCCTTTTTCATTTGTTACTTATCAATATTTTCATTGTCTCTTAGCCGTGTGTGTGGCTGCTTATCACCTACGATTCGTCTCGCCTTTCTTTCTGCCTTCTTTTCTTTCTCTTCCTTTCTCTGCCTCGTAAATGGTGCCACAACTTTCTTCTTTCTTCGTATTTTACCCTCCCCTCTAAGCACTTTGACCATACATCGTCTGATTAACGACTGACAGGCTCACAAGGGAGGAAACATCTCTGCTGTAAATATACTGCTATAATATTGCTTATGATTATATCTCAGAGACAGTCCAAAATGCAAAATTCTACCTACCTGGTACGTGTATAAACAAACGACGGAAAGAGTGATACTGAAATCGGAAAATGCCGATGAAAAACTGAAGAAAAGAAAGTATTAACGGATAGAAAAAAACAAATAAAATGATACCAAAGAGAAATGAAGTCAAAGAGATTTGTTTATACAGACGAATACAAAGAATAACACGCGAAGAATATGTAAATAGTGATTTTAAAAGAAGCGAAATTGCATGCGAACGGATACTAATAATTAGAACGAGGCAAGTGGCATTTTTGGACCACATAATGAGGAAAGATGGCCGCCATAGTCTAGCACTCACAACACAAAAATGGATTATTGCTACCATAGTTCAGATGACACAGTTTTGACAGCAGACAGAGAAAGAAAGCTACGAAAACGTCTACAGATGGTAATGAAGCGCGAATAAAGGATCAAATATCAGCTGCCTAAAAACAAAATGCAAGTTTCTCAGACCGAAGATAGG